GCTCATTAATCCTGAGCTGGTTAATTTTAGCTGTTGACTTGACCCAACATAGAACCACCCAGAAGAGAGTTTTGGTGAGGAATTGTTGGTCTGTGGGGGATTGTCTTGACTGATAACTGAAGTGAAAGGACCCAGTCTGAACCTGGGTGGGGGGTGCCTTCCATGATCAGGCCCTTGACTATGTAAGGGGTGAGCAGGTGTCTTAGTAGAGGTAGTGAGTAGGAATGGCTGTATCCTTTCTGTGCTCTTGACTGGATGTGATGTGACTTGCAGCTTGAGTTCCTTAGCCTCAAATTCCCCAAAATGATGGACCGTAAACCTGGACTTGTAAACCAAATAAATCCCCTCCTCCCTTATGTTGCTTTTGGTTGGGGTGTTTCATCAACACAACCATTAGGTCACCAGAGCATTTATATATTTTTTAATTTGTTTTCTTTTTTCTGAGATAAGGTCTTGTTTTGTAGCCCTGGCTGGAACTCACTGTATAGACCAAGCTGGCCTTGAACTCACAGAGACATGTTTTCCTCTGACTCTCCAGTGCTGGGATTAAAGGTGTACACCACCATACCTGGCACCCTATAGCATTAATAACAATTGCCCACCTTTACCCTTCTGACTTGATACAACTCTGTCATTTATTAAATCTCACATGTTAAAGAGCACTATCATACATTAATGTACATACATTGAAACTCCAGTTTCTCACTAGATTTTCTATTGTGTTTCTTGTACCTGTCTTTCAATGCCATGTTGTTCTAATTATTTTAGCTTCATAATATATTTTTGTCTTCAAAGTCAATACCATCCCCTATTTCATCTTTTCCAGTGCTGCCTTTGATGATTTTTTAATTGCTTGTTTTTTTAATTTAATTATAAGTTTCAGAACCATGTGTGAAGTTTGCAAAATAATTACTTAAGATTTTATTTAGAACTATGGTTATACTAATGAATTAATTAAAACATTTTGAAGTTTTGTAAAATACTTAGTTTAAAAGTAGAATGTGTCTCTCCATCTACTCAATTTTGTGTGTGTTTTTAAAATAAGTCATACATTTTTTATCATGTTTATTTTGAGACAGTGTAGATTTTTATTACAACTGCAAATGGGGTTTTAAAGTATATTTTATTACTATTATTAGTAAGTGGCTCTGTGCTTTTGGCATCAGGTCACTTTACTTTTTTATTAGTTTAGTTATTTTCAGGGGTTCTAAAAAGGGATTTTCATACAGATAATTGTGTCATTTGGGGAGAAAAAGGAAAAAGCAGAAGGTTTAGTGGCCTTATTTTTTCTTTCACTGTACTTGCACCTTGTCTTTTGTTTGTTTTTCCTTATTGCTTAGCTAAAACAAGTTCTGGGATGCATCAAACACACAGGTTCCACCTTCTGGAAATCCACTGGGACCACACACAGGACTCCTGAGTTTTCATCTTTTTATCTTTCCTTGCTGAGTCTTTGGAGACTTTGTTTGAGTTTTATCCTTGGATTCTCAGATTTTGTTTCCTGAGGGTCCAATATGTGGTTCATTGTTCCTTTATATTTTAACACTCTGTGATCAGTGTTTTTATCTTTGTCTTGCCTCAAAAAATAAAGAGCGGTCCCTAATGCCACGACCACGGTCTCCGTGGATCCACATCTCCCCAGTGCCATCTCCAAACACACTTCAGCTCTCTTATCTCCACACTCCTTTGAGTTCCTGGGTTCTTGCTTGGTTTGGCACACGTCCATGGATGGCCTTTGGGATCCCCAGATACCTGCTAATTTTCCAAGTCTTGGGAAACACATGAAAAGGCCATCACTACCTGTTTCTTCCAACTCTTCACTTACTAGCTATATTGGCCTGTTTTATGTGTCAACTTGATGAAAGCTAGCGTCATCGGTTGAGGAAATGTATTTTCTCAATTAGTGACCAATGGAGGAGAGCCAAGCCCATAGTGGGTGGTGCCATCCCTGAGCTGGTAGTCCTGGGTTGTATAAGAAAGTAGGCTGAGCTAGCCAGTAAGCATCACCCCTCCATGGCCTCTGAATCATCTCCAGGTTCCAGTCCTGCTTGAGTTCTTGTTCTGACTTCCTTCCAAAGATGGACTATGATCTGGAAGTGTAAGCCAAATACACCCTTTCCTCCCCAACTTCCTTTTTGGTCATAGTGGGTTTGTTTGCTTGTCTGTTTGTTTATTTTTCTTTCAGCAATGGAAACCCTAACAGACACCAGAGCATTGTCTTTCAGCTCAGCGTGGCACAATCTGCCCAGGAGAAAATTGTAGACTCACTCTGGACCACTCCCTCCCCAAGCAGCCCAAGGTCTTTTGCTTTACCTCGAGAGATTCTGCTGTCCTTTCACCTGTTCATCCATTGAGATCAAGCTCAAACCTGTATTCCTAAGGTAGACAAATTCAAGCCACCTTCTTCTGCATTCCCTGGATGCTCCTCTACTGGAAAGCTTGGGACACTGTAGAGCAATTATGTGTGTATCCAGGCCAAGAGGAAGGCCAAGATGCCTGTACCCCTCTCCCACCATTACTCTCTTGCTCCTTTCTTCCAGTAGATCAGTCTAAGTCTCCATCCAAGTTAAGCCTAATTACCACAGATACCTAGCTTGCCAGTGTAGAATAGAATCCTATTCTTCTTCCTATCCCCAGGTTACCCATAATCCCTCCATCCTAATAATCTTATCCCTGAATCACAAAAAGCCGTGAACAATAAGACAGCACCAGGGTTCCTCACTGTTGCACCTTCTACTTCTCCTGCGTTTGTCCCCGAACTTATCAAAGACCTAGTTTCCAGTTTTGTTTTTTTTTTTTCTGGATCCTCTCTGTCTTAGCAGAGACTTGGCTTTTTACAGTGATCCTCTTTCTCCTCTCTGCTATCTATATCCCTTTTTCTACTGGATAATCCCAACTGATTTACAAGCATTGCCATGTATCATCCATCAAAAATAAATAGATAAAACATCTCTTGACTTCCCTCTTCCCTAGTGGCAGCCACTCCACAACTGGCCTCCATGCCATCTTTAACAGCATCTCTAATTCCTCATGACCCATCCCTTCTCAGCCCCTCCCACTCCTTCCCGTTCCACCCAGATGGGCCTTGGGAAGACAACAGGAATCTCCAAGTTGTCAACTCACTTTATCATGCCTGAGTTCACACCTTATTCTTCTAGAAGCATTTGATGAGATTGAGCCCATCCTCCATTCATTCATTCATTCATTCATTCATTCATTCATTCATTCAATTTATTCATTGCATGTGTGTGTGTGAGTGTGTGTGTGTGTGAGTGTGTGTTTGAGATATACTTCCTATGTAGCTAATGATGCCCTTGAACTTCTGATTTCTTGACTAGTGGGATTGTAGACATGTACACCATGCCTCCTTCATGCGGGGCTTCCTGCATGCTAGGCAAGCACTCTACCAAATGCTCTGCATTCCCTTTCTTGGAACACACCTGTCCTCCAGGTCTCACCGACCTCCTTGGCTTCTTCTCAGTGTCGGCAGGTTTCAGAGCTCAGCCATGAACCTTCTCTTCTCCTCTGTGTGCACTCTCTCATTATGTTACAGGTTCCATGTCTGTGGCTCGCATGTGTGTATATCCGCCTGGCTCTACATTATCCTTGACCTGGGGATTCTGATGTGCAGACCTAGATTTCTTCTAGCCCACCTTTCAAGCTTACCAGATCTGAAACAAAAAGCCAGTGTTCTCCCTTCTTTCCTCCTAATCTCCATTGTGTTCATCTGCCCAGTTGCTGGCCAAGCATAGTGGGCCACACCTGTAATCCCAACACTCAGTAGCAAGAGCAGGAGGAATGTGAGTTCGAAGCCAGCCTGGACTGCACAGCAAGACCCTGTCTCAAAGACAGAACAAACAAACAAAAGGTCAAACAAAAAAAAAAAAGAAGCCCCCCCCCCCCCCCCCCGCTCTACTACCCAATCCATTAGCCAGCCCTGTTGATTCTACCTAAAAATGCTTCTCTAAGCCACTTTTTGGTTTCTGGTTCCATCTAAGTAAGATATCACCATCCTCTCCCAGCCTCCTCCTGTTGCCTCTTAAAATTTCCTGCTCACCACTCATTCTCTCCCAGCTGCTCACACGAACTTCCAAAAAAGTAAAACAAGGTATAAGCACTGTCTGAGTGATCCTGCTGTACTTAGAGTCATATTTCACTCCTAACCCATGCCTAGAAAACCTCTGCGCCTCCCCACTGCCACCTTCCAGTCAACATGTCCACTCCCCACCTTGTCTGGAAAAAAACAAGAGTTTTTTCCATGAATCCACCAGATCCCTTTTCTCCCCACCTAAAAGTGCTCTCTCTCTCTCTCTCTCTCTCTCTCTCTCTCTCTTCCTCCCTCCCCCTCCCTCCCCCTCTCTCTGTCTCTCCTGCAATGCCTTTGTCTCAGCCCTCCCTATTGCACTTTCAACAGAGCACTGGTCACAATTGACTATGTCCTTTCCTATGTGTTCGTTCTTATTACTCATGCCTTAAAACAAACCTTTGCTGGGCATGTGGTTCTTATTGTGTCATGTTCTAATAGCTGGAGCAGTTTCCAGCACACAGGTGTTTAGCGAGTGTTTGTTGAAGGGATGACCGTACCCTGGTGGCTCTGATGTGGAGCGAGCTCTCACTGATTTGTTGGGTGAGCCCTACCTGCAAGTGTACTGGAAGTTCCTGCAGGGCAAACAGCCTGCTGTCAGGCTTTTACTGTTTCCTCCATGGTACCTGGCATGGAGCCATGGACTCTCATCCCCGGGTACTTAGTAAAATCTTGTTGGAGCTATTTCTTATCAAGGTCAAGAGTCCGAGCAATTATTTTGTAGACTTCATGTTTATTTCTGAGAATAAACATGCAACATGAGGAAAACGCCATGAGAATAAGAACAAAGCAGGTAGGATGTGGTGGGCACCCGCTGCATGCTCAGCTGGAAAGTGGGTTAGAGTCTTCCCCTTTGGTATTACCCCGTCAAGTGCCAGCCACGATGTTACATTACTTCTTGATGTGTGTGTTACAGGATACACAATATCTGCTGGTGATGGTGGATCCGGATGCCCCCAGCAGGCATGACAACAGGGCCAAATACTGGAGACACTGGGTGGTGTCCAACATCAAAGTAAGGAGACCAACGGGTGTTTTCAGAACTGTTTCAAACTGTAGCTGAGGTTACCATCCTGTAAGGTTTCTTAGCACTCATCTGGGAGAGCTGGAGATAAGGGTGAGTGAGGCCTTCTGGGTCAGATGTGTGATGTGATATGTGATGTCCTAAGAACATGAAAACCACATCTGAATGTGAGCTGTGGTGGGCTAGAGAACAAGATCTCAGGACAAGAGCAGCAGAACACGCCGATTCTATGTGTTTGCTGTTTTTTTTTTTGTGTCTGTGATAGAAGTCTCCTCTCTGATACCAAATTCAAGGTACTAAAGACTGAGGAACTGACTCACAAAACTTGTGGAAGTCTAAGAGGTGGTACAAGCACATCACTGTGGGTTTGGTGTGTGGGTGGGGGGGTCCCCAGTTTGGTTGGCAGGGTGTGAAGGATCATGTGATGGGCCTTCCTCCTGCTGTACGAGGGCCTGAGAGGATGCAGGGAGAGCCCCCTTCTTTATACAGAAATATAGCTGCTTGCTAGTTGGTTTCATGATATCTGGGGATGAGCCTAGCTTGCCTTTTTCAGGAGTATGTCTGAGGAACACTCTATATCAACACAAGTGTTAGACCTTCTAGCTTGAACTCGTGTCTCATCAAGTGGCCTTTTAAAGATATTGCTATCTTAATAGACATCCCAGTCACCCTTCAGTACCCTCAGGAAACGCTCATGAGTCTATTATGTAAAGTAGTATTTGAATCGAGCCTTTGCACGTCTTCTTATATCCTCTAAACTATCTCTAACTGATTATCACACCCAGTTCGATGTAAATGCTGCATAGATAGCTTGTTGTACTATACTGTTTAGGGGATTGATGATGGAGGAAAAAAATGCCTGCACTTGCTCACAGGTGTAATCCTCCATTTTTTCTTTTTCAATCTGCTTTTGGTTGAATTTGAGGATGTGGAACCCACAGGGAACAGAGGCCCAACTCTATGTAACCCACAATTGTTTCTCAATCCTGTGGTATTACGGACTCTCCTACTCATGAACAGCCTGGTAGTATACTTTGGAGAAATCCACACTAGCCTGTAGCCTTTGGGATCTGTGCCCAGACAACCTACAAGTGACTTTTGCAAAGAATGTGCAAGGGCCTCTGCCTGGTAATACAATGGAAACTAGCACAAATGAAGTTTGAACGTGCTGCGAGTTGAGAGCTGGTTGCCAGCTCAGAGACCAGACACTCCCTATCGCTCATGTAGTTCCTATGTGAACCAAACTCTTGGCTTCATATGGTCATCCTGATGATCCAATGAAGGACATCCTAGAAGCTGGAGGTAAAACCACAGGTGCAAAGGCTAGTGTCTTGAATGCTAGAGCCACAGGCAGAAGCAGGGACATCAGTTTGACTAGCTGTTGACTCCTGACAAGGGAAGACTCTCACACCGGAGTGGGTAGGGAAGGGAGAGTTACCCTGGCAACCAACCCGTGTCCCAGCACTAGGAGCCTCCCTAGGAAGTTCAGGGGGGACAGCCCTCCTTAGAAACAGTCTGGCTGTAGCCCAGGTGGGCTTCTTGAGCATCAGGGAACTGCTGGAGAACTTAGCGATTAGCAAAGGGGCAGTGTCGAGGGAGGGTCTTGGTGTGTGGCGGGGATGGCAGTGGAGGGCACAAAAGATGGGCAGTTTGTCAGATTGGCCTCCATCTAGAGTACTGCTGTTTTCCAAACTTGGGTAAAGTTCATGGGGTGGAAGCTCAAGAAAGGAATTTTCCAGAATTCCAAAAGCCAACAAACACACACACACACACACACACACACACACACACACACACACACACACACACGCACGCATGCACTCACACACACAGGGCTCCCAATGAGAGGATTCCAGTCGGGATTCTCTGGCCAGAGGGAAAAGCCATGTGGGCAGAATGGTTTCCCAGGTGAGGAGCCCTGGGACTGTGACAGGGCCTCTAGCGATGTCTGACACCCCACCCCACCCACTCCTGTCACCCTGATACTCACTCAGGACATATCCCTCACACCAGATCTGTGCTATGAACAAAGGTTTAGCCCCAGAAGCCTGCTTAGAGACACAGCAGGTGGCAGGTGACAGGTGGCAGCTGTCAGGCAAGCCTGCTAAGCCACAGAGCTTAACTAAAACCACCTGCCAGGGCATGGCCCTCACTTCCCGTTTGCCCAGAGGAGGCTCAGGTTTCAGTCACATTGCCACCCACTTTCCCTCTTCTGGGTGCCTGGCAGGAAGCTGCGCCTTTCCCTGATGGAGTTAGTTGGCCCTGCCACCTGCCCCCATGTTCTGCTAGCCAGAAAGATGGCATTAGCCAAGTGGGTTCAGGTCTCAGATCCTGGAGCTCTGTTGAAAGAAGAGTGGAGAGTGGGGTTTCTGGCCAAGCCTAGGAGCCCGTCCTCTAACTTGGAGTTCACACAGAAGGCCATGATGATTCCATGAAGAAATTCTTGAGCCCACCTCTCCATAGAACTCCACAAACCTGGGTGGGGAGGAGCCCATTTGCTGGCAACTGGCTCATCTCCGGGTACCAGGACCTTCCCAGGAAGTTCAAGGGGACAGAGGCAGCTGGGTCACGGCCCTGACAAAGTCTTGGACAGTGACCAAGTCAGCCTCCAAGGTGCCACCCAGTTCCCTGGCCATGCTGTGGAAGAGATTTGCAGACACACAAATAACATAACTTCCGCCTTGACCAGCTCTCAGCAGGGGGAGGCTGCAGTGCTCAGGCCTGGGATGGAGATGGTGTCATCTATTTGTGGGGCTGTTTTCTTTCCTTTTTTCAGTTGTGATTTTTTATGTGCATCAGTGTTTTGCCAGCATGTATGTTTGTGTGAGGGTGTCAGGTTCCCTGGAACTGGAGTTACAGACAGTTGTGAGCTGCTATGACTTGAACTCAGGTCCTCTGGAAGAGCAATCTCCCCAACCCACGAGGCTGTTTTCAAATAAAAGCATTTTGGAAACTGTTGAAACCTCAATCATTTTGTGAGCTAGCATTGCCCCCACTAAATGATGGGAAAGCAGGGGCTAAGGAGGTTCAGTGACAGCCTCCACTAGCAGTAGTAGTAGACTGTGTGTCCCAGACTCTAAACCATTCATACCATGCTACACCATTGTGGGGGTCCCATGATGTCCATCAGTCCCATTTTGTCCAGGGACCACACCTCTGTAAGATGAAAACAATCTCTGCCCCATTCCCATGACTCCAGCTCACTCCTGAATGAGTAAAGGCTTCCAGGGCACACTGCCCAGGGAATGCTACCTTGGCATAATAACTGCATACCTGATCTGTGTTTTAGGTCCCATAAAACTACACCCCAAACATCACCATTACCCAAACACCCTCACCAGTAAGCCATGTAGTAAAGTCACTGCAAACAGTAACAATGGCCCTGTGACTCCCAATGGCCACACGCACACACACACACACACACACACATACACACCCACACACAGAGAGAGAGAGAGAGAGCGAGAGAGCCACAGAGAGAGAGACACACACA